TTAGGAGGGTCTGAGATCTGTGTAAGGTGTGGGAGGCTGAGTGATTTTCTTGAGGGAGCTGTGTGTGAGGACAGTATGGCAGTGTGAGGTCACTGTGAGATGTCACTGAGGTCTCTCCTGGTGTGAATCTCCATCAGAGGCCTCTGTAGGAGGTGCATGTGGATGTGTTTGGAGTACCTTTGTGAGGAAGCTGAGGCTGGTGTTCTATTCCGGAGGGAGGTCCCCAGGAGACATTTCTGTGTCTGTTACCCAGTGGTGTCCATATGGAATCTCAGTGTGTGGGTCAGGGTATGTGTGCCTGGGAGTCTCCATGTGGGTCTCTTCGGGATTCTCTCAGTGTGGGTCTCTGTGTAAGTAAGTAGGTCAGGGCAAGTGTCTCTGTGGGTGTCTCTCAGTGTGGGCCTCTATGGGACTGTCAGTGTGTGTCCTGGAATTCTCTGTGTGTGTCTTACGGTAGATCTTGGCTGGGTTGTGTTTGTGTGAGGCTCGGTAGAGCTGTGTAAGGGGTCTGTGTGGAGGTCTCTGAGGATCTCTGGAAGTCTCTGTGTGGGTGTGCCTGTCCATCTCTGGGATAGTTTCTGTTGGGGTCCCTGTCTCCCTCTCTCTCTCTCTCTCTCAGTGTGGGTCTAGGTCTTGGACTTTGAGAACTCTGGGGAGGAATCTAGGGGAGACTCAGAGCACTCTCAGTACATATTGGTGTGAGGGATTCAGTGGAGATGTCTTTGGTGGTGTGGGTGTGGGTGTTTGTGGAGGTCTCTGTGAGGGTCTCCATGGAGGTCTTTGAGGGTTCTCTGTGCTGCTAGCTGTATTAGTGCACTCATGCAGGACAGGGCCAGAGGTGGCAAGAGGGACAGAAACTTTCTCCCTTCTGCTTCAGGCTGGTCCATCAGCATCACGCTATGTGGAACTTTTCCCCTTCGCAATTCCAGGCTCCAGATTCACTTTTTCCCACCCAGAAACTGCCTGTGAGGTCCCTGAGTGGACTCAGTGGTGACTAAGCGTCTATGGAGTCCCGTCTCTGGGGTTCTGGAAGATGACTGGGCAGGGCCCATCCCCAGGTCATCTGCCTCAGTGGCATTGCCATTGAGGACAAATGGAGGCCCCTAGAGGGGGTTCATACGCAACCCCGCTGGTGACAAAGCAAGTCACTCTGGGGTGATGACTCCCTAGGGCTGTTGGTCTTGTCAACATGAATAGATTGAGAGATGCCTAAAGGGTGATTGGATTGTAAGTTCACACTTGAATGAGCTCTCAGGAGGAGGGCCCTAGTTGGTATAAGTAGGTCACTGGGGGTAGGACTTTGAAGGTGATATCATTTCTGTGGCTCTTTCACCCACTGCAATTCCTATGTTTTATGAGATGTGCCACTGTCCTCCACCACGACCTCCATGGTGTGTCTGGCTTGGAGCCAGATGACCATGGATTCAAACCTGTGAAACCAAAATCAGATACCCATCTTTCCTCCTTGAAATAGTTTTTCTCTGGTCATTGATCACAGAGACCAAGACAGGAGGAATATATTCTTCTCCTTGTGTTGAGGCTCCCTGCTTTTCCCTGTAGCTGGGTCCTGGGACATGGCCATGTCAGCAGGAAGTAGGCTGGAGCACCGTTGAGACTGTTACTGGCCTGCATCCCCATCCATGAAGCTCCTGCATTTAGCCAGTTCACTCCTCTAAGTTTTTAACCCGTGTGATTTATTGACTCTTTCCCTGATTGTCTGTGGGACAACCACGGACTGAAGATGTGAACTTGTTCTTGTGACCTAGGCCAGCCCCTTGGCCATTTTCCGTGCTAACCTCTTCTCTGGGAGAAAAGTGGGGGCCCCCTGTATGAGTAAAAGTCGGTGCTCTGTGAGTCACCTCCAGAATTCCCTGGCCTTGGGTCTTCCAGCCATCGTCAAGTGGTTCCCTGCAGAACGGAAGAGGTGACGGCCCCCAGGCTTATGAAATATACTGCTCAGAAATTGATCTTCCCACCTACGACAATGGTTGTTCTTGGATCCATGTTAGCACCGAAGGTGCTTCTCCAAGCCCATGGTCTCAGGGCTGAGATCTAAGATGGGAAGCGGGTGAGCAGCTCAGCCAGCGATGTCTGCTTCTTCCGTGCTGGTTAATGGCACTAGGCGGGCAGAGACAGTTTCCCAAGAGGAAATCCACACATCCTCTACCTCCTTCATTTGCTAAACGTTTCACAATTATTCTCCCATGTTTCCCCCTTTTCCCACACGCCCCTCTGTGGATGGTCCCTGCACACACATCCTAGCTGAGGTAAGAGTGGAGCAGCGCTTTGTAGCTCTCCTGCAGCACTGACCTGTGCCCTCACTGGCAGGCCTGCAGGTTCTATCCTGGCTGCCGTACTGGGGCAGGGGCAGGTGACACTGCCGTGTCATCTAGGCTGACCTGTGTGTGCCTGGCAGGGCCCAACCTGTGCAGCCTCCATGAAGCAGAGCTGGGGGTCACAAGGCAGGTGTCACTGTTACACTCCATGAAATCCAGGCGAGTGTCATGGTGCCGCCTATGAACCCTTAGCCTCCCCCCTAAGCACCCAACATTGTGATGTGTCGCACCCGGGACCCATCGTGGCTTAGTGTATGAATTGCCGCATCAGCACACTGTTCAACACGGGAGAAGTGGGGGAAGGACAGGTGGAGCCGACACTGTGCCGGAATCTTGTGGAGCTGGGTCATGCTGAACAGTCCCAGTGGCTTTGCGGTGCTCTGTATTTCTCATGGTCTAGTGCTTAACACTTCCTTGAAGGAGCGATACAGGGCAGGGACATGACCATGGGTCCTCAGTGCCACTCCCCCCTCCCGAAAGGCTCCGTGCTTTCTAGAAGCTGCTCAGAAGAGCAGATGCTGAGCCCTTCCCATGTCCCACAGGACAGACAGAAGCCACTCCCTCCAATAAGAACAAACTTGTGTTAGGAAGCCACAGACACGGCAATAGGAAGAAATTATCAGTACAAGAGAGGTTGGTGCAGTAAGGAGGAGGAGGTTAGTCCAGTGGGCCTCTGAGGGCCCGGTTGGGACCAAAGGGAGTTGCACTGCAGGCCCTTGGCACTTAACTATGTGCAGGTGACAAAGCAGGGAGAGGGCCCTGCAGGGTGGGAAGTGCCTTCTGTCTTCCCTGCTCGTGTCCCGGAGCTTTGTGGGGCAGGAAAGCAGGTTGCAGCTCTGGCGATGCAGTGGGCCATGGAAGGGCAGGAGGCTGAGGCTTAGGATGATTAGGGGCTGAAGGGTCTGGAGTGTGGACCCCATTTGTGCTTTAAGTAAGACCTTTTAATGTGTGCTTCTAGCATCAGGTGAGTTTTGTGGTCGAGGAAGGGAAGCTCCTGAGAGGTGCTGATACGGGCTTCCCAACGACCCTTGGAGCGGACTGGCTCTCTGGGTGTGGCATGGGTGTTGGAGTGGTTAACATTGTGGCTGGCAGCAAGCCAGGACTTGCGCACACACAGGGGGATCATGCCCTCGCGGATCTGCCCCAACTTCCTGCCCAGGTGTTCTCGCAGGCTTTTCTCCAGGTGTTTCCTGCCCGGGCCCATGGAGGAGCGATGACCTGTGTCACAGGTGTCAGGCTTGATGGGGTCCCTCTCTGCATGCTGGTCATAATGTCCCCGAACCTTCTGGGAGGTCCTTCCTGAACTCTGGGGGTCCCTCTCCAGGGCTTGCTGAAGAGCATCCCCAGGCTGGCCTCGTTGGAAGGCTCTGGGGCCCTTCCTCAAGGCTCTGCCATGGCTGCAGGAGCCTATGTTCTGCACCCCTTGGCTGCTTTGATGAGCAGGAGCTGAGGGTATGGGGGGCCCCTGCTTGCCCTGTGCCTGGCCCTGACCTTTCCCTGGCAGTTTGCCCAGCAGCTGCATCCCTGGCTGGGATGTTTGGATCCCGAAGGCAGGGCGAGGCAGGTGTTCGTCTCTCCAGAAGCCCTCTACCCTGGCTAGCTCTGTGGGCTCCTGGAGCTCAGGGCTGTTAGACTCCCCCAGAAGAAGATGGGCAGACTTGGGGGTCTGGGAGGCCTGGCTGCCTTGAGGAAGGTTCAGAGTGGGTTGCGCAGAGTGTTCCTGCGCTCTTGGGAGCTTAGGGCCCGAGGGTTTTGGTGGCGTCTGCAGAGGCCATGCCAGTTGCTGATTTTCCACTGGGACAGGTGACTGTGCCTCCTGCTGGCGTGTAGGCCCAGTGGTTGTACAGGCCTTCACCTGGGATGGGCAGGAAGGTGGGGGGTCTGGGGGTGAGCGTGGGTCTGGGGCCTGCGTCTGGGCCTGAGGCACAGAGTAGGGCAGGTTTGCTGTGCAGAGCTGCGGTCGGGCCACTTGGTGGGTCAAGGGCTGGGTCTCTGAAGGCTGCGGGAGGCCTTCAGCCCGAGAATGAAGTGCGAGCCGAGAAGGAAGCTGGGGGACTTTCACAGCTTGAAGTGCCACAGAGGAGCACTTCTCAGAGAGCCAGGCCGTAGCCAGCAGGTTCTCCCCCTGCAGGAAGACCAGGCCCCGGCAGAGCTGGCTCCGTTCCCGCTCTGTAGGGTCCCCCAAGGCCAGGTGGCAAGACGGCTGACGGGAGGCAGGGAGCCACCGTGGTTGGTGTCCGATGTTGCACAAGGGCTGCGAGGTGGTGCCTCGCTTGCCCCTCAGGGCCCTTCCCGTGTTCCCTGGAGAAGCCAGGGCGAGGTCTAGGCTCACGGCTTTGGCAAGTAGGCCACCCCTTCCTTTTCCCTCCTGGATTAGGGTTTGCACTCTTTGAATGGTGAGCGTGCCCGCCAGCCTTGGCTCACCCCGGAATGAAGTGTGTGGCGGGAGGTGGGAAGGAGGTTCTCGCCGGGACAGCCGTGGGCCCAAGGTGAAGAAAAATAGGGCATTGTCAGTTTCCCAGCAGCAGGAGAGGAACAAGCGGGAAGAGGGCAGGTGGGCAGGGTCTGAGTTCCAGAGAAGGGAGCCTTGTGTGACAGTGTCCTGTGGGATTCTCCCCGAGCTGCACCGGTCCTGAGGCCCTGGTGTTGGGACAGAGGACCGAGGCAGAGGGTGCTGTGACACAGGAGCCGGGGGAAGCCTCAGGGCCCAGGTGTTGGAAGCGGGCTCTTCCTCCCCGTGACTCTGTGGCTGATGAACTCGAGCAGCTCCTGGTTTGCACACCTCACCTGGCACAACTCCACGTGAGCATAGATGAAACGTGCCCTTGTCACAGAGTCCGGGTGGGTGGCAGTGGGAGACAGGAGGCACAGGCTGCAGCCAGGAGCAGGCAGGGACAGGGGGCTGGGCGGGATGGGCCCAGGTGGGCACTTGTGGCCCGCAGCCCCTCCACTGCCCGCTCCCAACTTCCAAAAGCTCTGGTTTCCTTCCATCCAGGGCTTATTCCCAAGACTCCTGACCTGGAGTCTCCTGCTCAGTCCGTTCACCTTGGGTACATCCTCATTCCTGTTGGTAGGAAGGTGAGAGAATTGGGAACTTCCTCACCTGTGCATAAATAAAGCTGGGTCCCGAGTCTCCACCACCTCCTTCGGGCAATCTCTGCAAGCTGGAAACAGACTGTGTTATGACAGAGAAAGAGGGTCTGGGATTTTACAGGAGGCTCACTGGCTTGTTCCTGAGTGGACTCCCCATGAGGTTAGCCCTCTCAGCCCAGCTCAGGGTCCAAGGCCACAAGACCCCTGAAGGCCACAGAAGGGTTTAGAGACCATACGTGGACAAGGAGTTTCTTTATCCTCTTAACACCCACACTTCCCACCAATCACTTTGTGCACAATAAGGAAAAGGTCATCTTAAAGAGTCTTCTGCTACATGAAAGTAAAACAGTTCTTCCAAGGTTGGAGCTGGCGTTTCCACCTTCAAATCCGGCAGTGCCACACGCACACACAGTGCCCCCTCCTGCATTCCTGTCACCCATCCCCTGGCTTTTCACAGCTGCAAGTAAGTGGCCCCAGTGGAGCTTTCCTTCGCAGGAGGCTCCCTGTTAGGCCTTCCCAGAGCCGTCCTGGGTATGCGTCCATGTTGGCTCTGGGGCAGGCGAGGGCACGTTACTTCTTGGGTAGGGTGGAAGGACAGGACCAAGCCTTACTTCTCTGAGTGCGGCTCTGCTCCCTGCTCTGGTTCCACCTGCTCTTCTTTCTGTGGTGCTGAGACACAAAACAAAGATAGGCGGGGCTGCAGTTCTCCCTCCTCTTGGCCCTAGACAATGAAGGTAGGACCTTCTCCCTTTTTACAGACAGTGCTGAGTTGTGCAAGTGACTAAAATTACTGTCTTTTTTTGTTCTTTGGAAAATCCCATGTGTGTTTGAGCAAGTTTGAACTCTACCATGTGTGTCTTGGGTCACAGTTCTGTGCTCAGATAGCAAGCCCGGACTGATGTAGCTGTGCCTCTCAGCTGCCAGGTAGGACTCTGCTTCCTGATGCCAGAGGTAACTGCAGCCTCTGACGTTGGCCCTTTGCGGTCAGCACAGCCCCTGGATCAGCCCTACCCAGAGGCGAGGTGAGGCCCTCGGGCACCTGCCGTGGAAAGGGGACTGACTGACACACCAGTGCCTGGAGACTGTCTTCCCCAGACGTCTCTAACCCTCTTGTAAACCCAGTCCTTGGCCACTGAGTTACAGAGAGTCATTTCCCCTGGGCGCCTGCAGCACACCACGTGGGTGGTCTGAGAGTCTCAGATGGAGGAGCTGCGCCCACTCTCACTCCCTGCCCTGTGACCTGGCTCAGCAGGATGATGTTCGCAACTTTCCTGAGATTTTTCTGCTCAGAAATCTCTGTCTTGATTTGGAATAGCTGTAAAGAAGAGCAGGGCAAAGAATCACTGCGTGTTGGGTTTTGGCCAAGGGCTCCTTACCTTCCTGTTGTTCCTTTTCCCAGTCAGCAGGAAGGCTAGGTTGGTCCGGAGGTGAGGGATTAATGGGATGAGGTGCGCCAGTCCACAAGCAGAGGCAAGGATGACGTCCGTTGCCCAGGTAGTGGAGCTGGGACTCATCCAAGTCTCATGAAGGATTTTCAGAAGTAAGAGAAACCTCTTCATCGTCTGACTTGTAGCGTTACCTTCAGGCAACTGAACTCTGAGAGTTGTCCTAGTGATCCGGGAGTTGGGACGCATCACAAAGGGTTCCTGAGTGTGGGGGAGGGGTGACTGGCAGAGAAGGCTCATCACGTCCCCTCCCCCACCCTGCAGCCCAACAGACCTTCTCCCTCCTGGGCCTTCTGGGTCCCTCCTTCTGACTCAGCCTGCTCAGCCTGTCATGGAACCCAGACATTATTAGTCCCTTTTATTACTGTTATGTTGACTAACTTTAGAGAAATTGATGTTTTCTATTTTACATTTGTATGCATTTCTGTACATCTTCCACGTTGAGTAATATCATGCCATAATTTTATGATAGCCATGTGCATGGATGTTTGTTGTATTTTTTCAAAGGCTTTTTCTACATCTCGTAAGGTGATCATGTAATTTTTGTCATTGCTGCTCTTCATGTGATTCATTCCATTCATTGATTGCATTTGTGAGCCCATCCTTGCCTCTCTGGAAGGAAGCCCATGTGCTCATTATGTATGATCCTTTATACGAGTTGTTGCCTTCTGCTTCCCAGGATCTTGTTGAGGATTTGTGCATCTGTATTCATTAAAGAGGTTGATCTCTGGTCTTCTTTTTTGTTTGGATCCTTGTCTGGTTTTGGAATCAGCGTAATGGTACCTTCCAGGAATAACATTGGGAGTATTCTTTCCTTTCAGTTTTGTTAAAAAGGTTTAGGGCCATTGGTGGTAATCTTCCTGAAGTTTGTGTAGGGGTCAGAAGTTAATCCATCCAGACCTGAGCTTTTCTTAGTTTGCACATTTAAAAGTTCTTAGTTCAATTTCTTTTCATGTTATTGGATTACTTGGGTCTTTTGAATGTCTTTGGTTCAGACTTGGTGATTCATATGTATCTAGGAATCCATCCATTTCTTCTGAATTCTCCAATTTATTGGTGCAAAGGTTTGAAAAGTAGTCAGTTTTGTTTTGGCAGTGTCATTGGAATGCCATCTTTTTCACTTCTAATTGCAATGATTTTTTCCCTTTTTTTAGCTATTGGCTAAGGGTTTATCTATTTTCTTTGTTTTCAGTGATTTCTGTTATGATCCTTATAATTTCATTCCTTGTATGAGCTCTGAGTATGGAGTATTCTTGTTTTTATTAGGACCTTGAAGTGCATTGTTATTTATTTGGACTCTCTTTTTTTGTGATGTGGGCATTCTCAGCTATAAACTTCCCTCGTAGAACCGCTTTGCATTGTGTCTCACATATGGTAGCATATTGTACTGCCATTATTATTTTGTTCTTGAAACTGCCTTATTGATTTGATTTCTTCTGTAACCGAGTATATTGGTTAGTTTCCAAGTGTTTGCATATTTTATTTTGTCTTTAATTTCTAGTCTCATTGTGCTATGATCTGATAATATGCATGGCATAATTTCAGTTATTTAACATTTACTGGTTTGCTTTATTGGCTAGTATGTGGTCTATTTTGGGGAAAGTTCCATGTGCTGCTGAGAAGAATGTGCATTTTGTTCTTGTGTGGAACATGGTAGATATCTATTAATTTTGTTCGTTCAAAAAATTTGCTCAGCCCTGATATTTCTTCGTTGATTTTGTGCAGCATCTGTCTATTTTTAATAGTGAGGTATTGCAGAAGTCAGTGCTTTTTTTGTTTTTTTGGTTTTTTGAGACAGAGTCTCACTATGTAGTTCAGACTGCCCGGGAACTCACTATGTAGCCCAGGCTGGACTCGAACTCACAGTGATTCTCCTGCCTCAGCCTTCCGAGGGCTAGGATTACAGGTATGCATCACCATGTCTGGTCAAAAGTTAGTTCTTGACTTCTGTAAAAACTTTAGGGGGAAAAAAAAAAAACTTCAGGTAAGATTTAACACCAATAAACCTAAAGCTCTTTAATGTAATAGTGGGGTATTGCATATGATTGTGGTTGTTTTCTGATCTTTTATGTCCAGTAATATGTATTTTATCGAGTTGGGTGTGCTTTTATTCAGTGCAAATGTTAATAATGATCTCTTCCTCTTTCCTTAACCAGTATGACTTGTTTTGCTTCTTTTGATCAGTTTTGGCCTGAAGTTTACTGTTTGAATATAGGACAGGTATACCTGCTTTTTCTCAGGTTCCCATTACATGGAATAATTTTTTCTATCCTTTGATTTTCTTAGACTGTTTCTATGAGTTCAATGTGGTTTTTTTTTTCCTCATTGAGTTTATTGGTACATTTTAGGTATACAGTACAGTTACATTCATTATTGGGATCTTGTACCTTACATGACAGGTCTTGGTTCAATACGTTTCTTTTATGCAGCATGTCCTTGATGTGTCTAGATCCATTCTGCAAATGTGGGTCTTTTGATTGGGCAATTGAGGCCATTCATATTGAGAATTATTATTGGTAGGTTTTGTCTTATTCTTGTTATTGCCTTATTTTCTAGTTGCTGATTTGCTATTATTCCCTTCTACTTAACTGCTCACCCTACTTGGTGTTTTCATTCTATTAGACCATTTGTCTTTAAAATTTTTATCTACTGCTGATTTGGTGGTCTTGAATTTCCTTGGTGTTATCATGAAAATATTTCTCCATCAATTTTGAAATAGTTCTGCAGGATACATCAGTCTTGGTCAGAAATTATCTTTTATGGCTTAAAAACATTTCAAGTTCTTCTGGCCTTAAAGGTTTGTGATGAGAAGTCTACTATAATTCTAGTGAGTTTACCTTTGTGATTCATTGCTTTTCTCTGCTTTTAAGATTCTGCTTTTAGGATTTTATGCCTAATTTATATGTATGTTAAATTCTCTTCTCTTACTTGAAAAGCTATTTTTCAATATATAGATTTTTTATGCCATCTGTCCTGTCTTGTTTTTCACTAATTCAAATTAATCTTAGTCTTTTTGAGTTATTTAGGAGCTCTTGGAAACATTTTTCATATTATTTGTAAGGTACAGATACTCCTTGAGCTGTTACTGTGACTAGGTTGTTCAAAGAATTGGTTGCTAAAGGAGAATTGTGTATAGTGTGTACATTACAGTTTGAGAACAAAGAAATTGACAAAGGAAATTCCAACTTGATGACTTTGCTTTTATTTGCATAACTCTTTCACGCAGTACTGTAGTGTATAAAACATAAACAGTACTATACTATACAGTACAATCAGCAAAGATTACAGTACTCTAAACAAGGAGCACTGTACAAGAAAAAAGACATTGAGGCATATAAACAAGATGTACAGAATTGTTTTTAAAAAAGGACAAAAAGAATAACAAAAACAAGACCAGGTGTAGTCCTAACAGTGAGCCTCAGTGTCATTCTGCACAGTCATTAAGTGAGGAACATCTGTATCTCTCATGACCTGGCCAGACAGCAGCCTTGACTTCTAGTTCTGACACCTTCTCCTTTTGCTGGTCATTCTGCTGCCTGTAGTGTAGACAGCATTTTTAATCTCCTGAATTTGTATTTGGAGCCTTTTCATGTACTCTAATTCTTTTCTATGCTGGTCCTTTATGTTTCAGATCATTTTATTTAGCTGTGTAGCCCTTTTTTTAGTGTCTTCTGTAGATTTGCTGATTGTTTCATTTTGATCCATTACTGGTTTACTTATTTTTTGTGTGAGGCTGCCAAATGCCTTATTGATTTGTTTCATTATCTCCTCTGATATTATTTCAAATAACTCAACTGTATGGTTTTTTTCTTTGCTCCGAGGCATTGTGTTGGCTTGTGTTCTCATGTTTTCACTTTTTAAAATCTTTTCATGTGAGGCTTACAGACATAGAATGGAAAGCCTTGTTTCTAGTATGAAGACCTCTTTAGTTAATGTCTACTTTTCAGTGGTGTTCTCTGGGTGTGCCTAAGAATTGGCCTTTTCCTCCGTCCCAGGATCCAACCGCTTCCATTTACTTGAGATGGAAGATGGCAACATATTGCCCAATACTCAGTTCTGCAGTGATGGGCCTCTGTACTGTTAATGACCCCAAGGCAATCCAGATATTGGCATCCCACGAAAACCAATTACAGTAATGAAATCAGCATCAATTACATCAAAGAGATGGAATATGAACAAACCTTAAGCACTAATAATGTGCCACTCTTAAGCACGGAAGAGACCTGTAATTATAGTATGAAGAATACGACAAAACCAATATTGATTTGTTGCCATACCTTGGTACTCATCAGTTTCAGAACTCATCAAATCCACTCCTCTGCATTGAGAAAGAAAAGCGTTTCAGTACTTTTCTCAGGATAATCTGTGAACACTGTAGTACCTTCATAGAGCAGTGTTTCCAAAAAAGATGAAGATACTATTAAGCGTAACAGGAGTATATTAGTCCAGCAAAAGGTGACTATTAGCCCAGTGAAATGTACACATTCTAGGGAGCTTTCACAAATTATTCCTAATTATATTGCTTTTCATGGGAAAACTTCATTTCATTCTCATTTGTTTCAGGATTCTCGAGTTTGCAAATGCATTAATGACAAATTAGGAGGCTTGACTACATGCGTATTTTGTGGTGGTGGTGATAGAACCCAGGGACTCACACATTCCTAACCTCCTAATAATTACTACCATATTGGAAGATGGTCACAAGTTACCTTCCCAGTACAACTATTATACTATATATCTAGAACTGCCTGCAAACACTTGTATTATTTTCTTTAGGTAAGGAAGCCTCAAAATAAATCGACACAACCTAATTGGAAAGATTACAGGTATTAGTTCATATGTTGTAGGAAGTATGGGAAAGTATAAGGCAGTATATTGAATTCAGATGTATCAGTAATGGATCTATACCTGAAGCAATAACGCTTGGGACTTGGAAGGGGTGGCAGTGGTGGTGGTGGCAGTGGTGCTTAGAAAAACGTTCAGTTGCCTGAAATAATGGAGGATAATATGAAAGCACGGCAGATGGGCTGTCACCAGAGCCCTGGAGTGGTCTAAGGATAACAGCAGCCTTGTCCTAACCCTAACTCACATACTATTCTCACATGTATATACTCACACTAATAATGTGCAGAAGGGGTTACACGGTGGTACGGGATGGAATCAGGTGATGGTACAGAGTCAAATCCTTGGCTTAAAGCTTATTGGCTCTGTGTAAAATTATTTAACCTCAATTTTTTTTTTTGTACTGGGGATTGAACTTGGGTCTTTGCGCTTGTGAGGAAGGTGGAGGCACCACTGAGCTAAACTCCAGACCCTTAACCTCAACTTTTCATTGGTAAATATGGATGACAGTTACCACCACACAAGGCACTAATGAACATTCAGTGAGCCCATTGTGTAAAGGGCTCAGTTTAGAGCAGCACCAGGATAAAGTGCGTGTTCAACCTGTGTGCCACTGGCTTCCAGGACAGCCTTTCTTGGTTCCTGTTCTACACTGCTAACTACTTGGTTTCCTTGGTGGTGCTCAAAACAAGCTTCCAAGCCCTGCACCTGACACCAACCAGGATGGCTGCCTTCAAGTCTTCTGGTATAAGAGCAAGACGAGGCCCGTGCCTGATACCAATCTGGCACATGATCAAGTGGGTTTCTGATGGGACGGATTAGATGGGGTGGGGGGTGAGGAGGATGGGATGATAAAGCTTGTGGCTGCCATGAGCCTGTTCACCAGCCCACCCTCCACACTCTGCATGGCATCTTCTTTTCCTACTTTAACGGGTCCACATGCACCATGCAGAGCACTTCTCTGTAGAGCACTGAGGCTGGAAGGTGTTTCTAGGAGGGAGGGGCATAACACTACCTCTGGTAACTACTGTGTAGTATGTGGAACACTGCTGCTTATCTCACATTACTTAAAAAGGCAATGTAACCACCACTTATATATTAACAACATTCCTGACCTAGTAACTGCATACTACACAGCAAAACTGAAGCTGCATATACCCAATTCCCTCTACCAGTAACAGGTGTCTGACAAAAATGCACATGTACCAAGAGACTCAGAAAATGTTCATGCCAGTACTGTCTGTAACAGAAAAAAATCTGATACACAGTAATATAAAATAATACAGCTTTTAATAAAAAAATGGGTCAATCTGCCAAACTTTATAAAAATGAAAAAAGAGACAAAATAATATACAGAGTGTAAGTCTGTTCAAATAAATTTCAAAGCCAATGCTTTAAACAGTTCAGCATATAAAATACTCATTTATAGGGACATAAAGAAAACAAGACAGGGCCAGGATTGAGCTCAGTGGCACCGTGCCTTCCTTGCAAGCACAAGGTCCCAAGTTCGTTCTCTGGTACCAAAAAACCAAACAAGAACAACAACAACAAAAGATAAAATGCTAACAACTGGGAATTGAAGTGAATAGCAAACTGTTTTGGAGTAGTTCGGGCACTAAATGATAAAGAAAATAATCGTCAAAATCTGGCACAGGGCAGACAAGGGGAGAAGGACGAACCAGTGACGGTGGAGAACCTTGGAGGGAGCTTCTGGTGCTGGCGGTTTCTCTCTCCACGTGTCAATGTCATATATTTCCTTTATAATTGTGTATGAAACTATATATACATAAATGCTATGCATTTTTAGATGTATATTTCACAAGAAGATGTAAAGACAAAAAACTGCTATACATTTGATAAACATTATATTTAAAGATAAACTTTTTGCTTTGTAACAAATAAAGTTTAATGGGGCTTTGGCTGAGTGGATCCTCCTGTACTTGAGGATCACTCATTAAAAGATACTTTATTGGCTAGGGATTTAGCCCAGTGGTTCCACCACCTGGCTCGCAAAGCTCAAGGTCCCAAGTTCGACCCCCGGTACCAAAAAAAAAAAAGTACTTTCCATGGACTAATGTTTTAAGGCTAATTAAAATCATGACTCTTAGTTTTACATTAGGTAGTTTTTATTTTGTTTTGTTTTGGTACCAGGGATCGAACTTAGGACCTTGCGCTTGTGAGGCAGGCAGCAGCACCACTGAGCTAAATCCCTAGCCCTAGTTTTTTGTTTTGAGACAGGGTCTTGCTCTATAGTTCAGGCTGGCCTTGAACTCGCTATGTAGCCCAGGTTGTCAATGAACTTGCAGCAATCCTCCTGACTCAGCCTCCCAGAGTGCTGGGATTACAGGTGTGCGCCACCACACCTGGCCTAGATAGTTCTTTTACAAGCATGAATTCTGAATCTTATTAAAGTTGATAGTAAGTAATACATTCTTCTAAGTAATTTCCATGAACTGCAGCATGACAACCTGATTTTATCTGCTTTTTGGCAGGCATCCTAGTATGTGCAATTTAAAATTTTGTCTTTAAGACAGCTCTAGATAAAAGTTTTACAATTATGTAAATATGATGCCTAATTCATATTGTTCATTTGCGACTTTTGCCTATTTTCTATAGCTTTTTTCTGACTTCCTCATTGGAATTTAACGGTATTATTTTGTGTGACACTGTCAAAGGCAAAAAGTGATCAGAATTTCACATTCTCTGACTGACTTTTAATGTACATTAATCCACTTGATTATCACTTTTGTCATCTAAATCATTATCAAAATCTACGTCATCATCACTTTCTTCATTCCTTTCGCAGCTCCTTCTATGACTGGATCTTTGATTAGTTTCAGGATTTTCTGGGTCTTTATTAAACCTAAAGATGAAAGAAAAAAATTTTTTATTTTCCAGGCAATATATATATATTTATTTATTTTTGGTACTGGGGATTGAACTTGGGACCTTGTGCTTGCAAGACAGGTGGCAGCACCACTGAGCTAAATCCCTGGCCCCAGGCTTTCAATATTTAATCACATAGGTTGAACAGACCTTCACCACTCTACTTTTTTCTTTTCAGTATATGTGTGTGTGTGTGTGTGGGAGGAGGTATCACGGGAGTACTGGGCCTTGAACCCAGGGCCTTTATCCTGAGCTATATCCCCGGCTCTTTTATTTTTAATTTTGAGACAAGATCTCAGTGTAGAAACCAGCCTATGAGTTCAAACTTGACCAACGGGTGACAAAGATGAAAAGTAGAGACACAGAAACAGGTTAAAGTCTGGTGGGCCAGGGGCTCATGTTTCCCTTAGACATAGAGCCCCAAGTAACTGGTACACCTTGGCTTTATTCATTCAGACATGGGTACAAGCAACTAGAGTTCCATAGGATTCATCTATCTCCCTCCCTCCATGGTACTTGTCCAGGTTAACAACAGAATCTCAGGTGTTTTTATTTTTCCCTCCAAGTGTGTCAACACCTTGCATGCCCTTTCTTCTTAGTGCTCACCAAAGGGCCAATTACGCCTCAATCTTCCCATCTGGTCTCCTAAGTTGCCTGGGCTGGGGTTGAACTTTCTTTGGGTACCAGGGATTGAACTCAGGACCCTGCGCTTGTGAGACAGGTGGTGGGACCACTGAGCTTTGATCCTCTTGCCTCAGCCTCCCCGAGTGCTAGGACGACAGGTATGTGCCACCATGCCTAGCTTTACTACTGTATTTCTGAGGAGGAGCCAAATGAAATAAGCACAAAGAAAAAGATCTTTCAAAATTAACTAAATTCAAGATTCTACTAATTAAAATATTAAAGGAGACTCAGGGCCAGGGATGTAGCTCAGTGATGCCGTGACTGCCTGGCAAGTGCAAGGTCCTGAGCTTGATCTCTGGTAAAGGCGCGGACACACACACACACACACACACACACACACACACACACACGGATGATGACACATGATGGAGGACAGATGTCCATTAAGAGAAAGTTGCTATATAACATTTAATTCTTTTGTAATGAATGTGAAACTCATGGCTAATTTTTCTTCTCCTCAAATGCAGAACCTTGTGCTTGCAAGGCAATATGTTGCCATTAAGCTAAATTGCTGGCCCTATTACCAAATATTTGATGTTCTCAAAAACAGTGTTACTTTTATTGTAATATAGAAACATTTAACAAAACTATGACTTTCTCCTTATTAAGTGGGGGGAAAAAGCCTAAATTAGTGTGATAAACCACAACCTCAGACTGAATTACTGATGTCTCATTAAAAAAAAAAGTGCATATAGGGCTGGGGATTTAGCTCAGCAGCATCTCATCTGCCTTTCTCACAAACAGAAGGTCCTGAGTTCGATTCCTGCTGGTGGGGGAGTGTATATATCAATTACTAAGAGTAAACTCTGAGTGTAAATGGAAATACTCACGGAATAACAATGTCTTCTTTCTTTCCACATTTTGCACAAACTTCAAGTTGATAGGCACATGGTCTGCACATTGTGTGGTAAGAATCCTTCACGGTCTTCTGTAAACACTTAACGCTAAAAGTAGAAGAAAAATTATTTAAAGATTTGACAAAATACGGGAGTGTGTCTAAATATACAGGAGAAAAACCTAAAACTCAAATCTCCTAGATTTTGAACTTAGTTATTTATCTCATGTTACTTTCTAGATGACAATTTACAGCTACAAAACTATAATTCTTGGTGTTCATTTAATTTATTAAAGCTTTAAAAAAATTTTTTTTTGGTTCTTTTGAGACATGGTCTCATTGTGCAGCGTAGGCTGGTCTTGAACTTGCTGCAATCCTCCTGCCTCAGCCTCCCAAGTACTGGGATTACAGGTGTGAGGCACCATGGCTGGTTAATTTCTTAAAGTTTTTTTTTTTTGGTACTGGGGATTGAACTCTGGTCCGTATGCTTGCAAAGCAGGCAGCGGAACCACTGAGCTAAATCCCTGGCCCTTAAAGCTTTTCAAGTGTCATCAAAACATGTCAAAACAAGATTAATAGACTTAAATCAATTATTTTTCTACACACTAGCAACAAACAAGCCAAAAAAGAAAAAAATGCCTAGCAATAAATTTAACAAGAAAGTTTAAGATCAGTGTGCTAAACATGGCTGTGAAACATCACTGAAAGAAACTAAATACCAATCACATGGAAAGATACCTTGTGTTTGTGCTCTGGAGTATTTAATACTGACAAGATGGCAATACTCCCCAAGCTGATGGATTCAGTGCAATCTCTTACAATTCCAGTTGGCTTTTTCTCCCCCCAGAAATTGAGGGGATAACCCCAGAGTTTATATAAGCATACCTTGTTTTATTGTGCTTCATTTCAATGTACTTCACAGATTTTTTTTTTTTTTGGTACTGGGGATTGAACTTAGGACCTTGTGCTTGCAAGGCAGGCGGTGGAACCACTGAGCTAAATCCCGGCCCACAGATACTGTTTTTGACAATCTGAAGGACTGTGGCAGCCTGGGGTCAACAAGTCTATCAGTGCTTTTTTCCTACCATGTACTCACTTCTTGTCTCCCTGTCACATTTTGGTAATTCTCACAATATTTCAAAGTTTTTTTATTAATCCATCAGTTCTGGGGATCTCTGATGTTACTATTACTATTATTTTGGAGTGTCATGAACTGTGCCCATATAGAGCGAGCAGCAAACTTCACTGGTAAATGCTGTCTGTTCTGATTGCTCTACTGCCCAGCTGTTTCCTGTCTGTCTCCCTTCTGCCAGGTCTCCCACTTGCCGGGGACACAATATTACCGAAATAAGGCCAATCAATAACCCTACAATGGCATCTAAATGTTGAGGTGAAAGGAAAAGTAATGGATGGCTTATTTTAAATGAAAAACTAGAAATGATTAAATTTAGCAAGGAAAGCATGTCAAAAGCTGGGATTGGATGAAATCCAATTCAAAGGCCAAGTTGTGGATGGGAAGGAACAGTTCTTAAAGAAAATTAAAATTGCTACTCTTGGGAATGGCTGGAAAGGAAAACAGCCTTCTTGCTGAAAAGGAGAGAAGATCACACCAGTCGTAACAGTGCCTAAAGCCGAGGCCTTCCCCCGAGCAAGTCCCTCACTTGCTTCAGTTCTATGAAGGCTGAGAGGGGTGAGGAAGCTGCAGAAGCAAGGCGGGAGGCTAGCAGACAGAGGCTGGCTCTTGAAACTACAGAAGCTGTCTCCATAGCATCAAAGTGCAAGGCGAAGCCGCAGCACTGCGAAGAGGCCCTTGCTAAGGTGACGGATGAAGGCGCCTACACTAACCACCACACCTGCAGTGCAGGCGCAGAAGATGCCATCTAGAACTTTCACAGCTGGAGAGAAGCCAGTGCCTCTGTTCAAAGCTTCAAAGGACAGGCTAACTCTTGCACGAGGGCTAATGCAGCTGGTGACTTCTTAAAGTTGAAGTCAATGCCATTTACCATTCCCCAATTCCTAGATCCCTAAGAATCAAACTAAATCTACTCTTCCTATGCTAAGTGGAACCGGACCTGGGTTAACACTTTTATTTTATTTTAGTACGTGGTGAGGCATCCAATTTTCCCAGCACCATTTATTAAAGAGGCCAATTTTCTTCCAATGTTTTTGGCCTCCTGGGGTTGTTTCTGCTTCTTCAGTTCTGTTCCACTGATCCACATGCCTGTTTTTGTGCCAGTAACATCTTGTTTTAATCACTGTAGCTTTACAGTATAATTTTAAGTAAGGGATTGTGATGCCACCTGCTTAACAGCACGTATATTTATGACATAGCTTTCTGAATACTTTAAGCTCACTGTTGAGACTCACTGCTTAGAAAAAGTGATTACTTTCAAATATTATTTCTGATTAACAATGTGACTATAAGACCCAAAACAATTCTGAGAAAGACAAAGCTGGAGGCCTCTCGATACACAATTTCATGATTACCAAAACATTTCAATAACTAAGATATAGCACTGGGCTATTACTGGAGGGGTACAGACAGGAGAAACAGATGCACACCGCCTATGTAGCCAATTCATTTTCAAACACTCCAAACCCTAAAATTAAGAGTTATATAGCTTCTAGAAGAAAATAGGAAAAACTATTTGTGACCAGATTTCTTAGCTACAATAATACATGACCTCAAATCATAAGTAGATGGACTTCATCATAATTAAAGGTCTTTCCTCTTCCAAGTAACTTACACTACCCATTAATGTATGTAACTGTACTGTATACCTAAAATGTACCAATGAACTCAATGAGGGGAAAAAAAACAAAAACAAAAAAGAGGAACTTACACTCGATTGAGTCTCTGAGTTCAAGACCGGCTGAGCAACACAGAGAAGTGACAGTGGTGACACAGTGAGAGACAGCTCTCGGGACAGAGGACAAACTTCTGGGGTCTTAACTTGTGGTTTATTAAAAGTATGGTTTGTATTTTCTTCTAAGATAGAGATTTTAAAGTGTTCTTTTGCTAAAAACTATGATGCTTCACGTGGGCCTATACATGTCCGGTAGGTAACTAAAAGCAGAACAAAGTCTGACTTTAATTTTCTAAAGCTCTGGGTCAAAGCCTTCTTGGCTCTGCATGCAGAAACGTTATAGTCATCTAAGCAGCATCCTTCTAAAAGTTGGCAAATCAGAATTTATTGGCACAAAACTTACTTAGTAATAACTCTTCAAATCTCCATTGCCTTCAGCCTATGGTCACCTTAGATTCCAGCAGAGCCTCATGACTGAGTCTGCCCGGTCATGAAAATTCCTCTCATGGGAACTAAACTGCCCCTTAAGCTGTGAAGATTCCGTCAGAGCTACAAAACTAAAACAGACTGGTATGGGGGATCCAAATAATGTAAATAATCCAAATAAGGGAAATATTATAACTCCCAACCTGCTAGATAACTGAAATGCTGAGTCTGTGTTCTCTAAAATCGAAGAACAGATTCTAAGAACAATGGAGGTAAAGAGCAGGGAATATTTATTGAGGGAAAAATAGTTTCTGCCTGCCAGGTGTGGTCGTGCATGCCTGTAATCCCAGCACTCGGGAGGCTGAGGCAGGAGGACCGCTGTGAGTTTGAGACCAGCCTGGGCTACATAGTGAGTTCCAGGTCAGTCTCAACTACATAGTGAGACCCTGTCTCAAAAACAAAACAAAACAAGAAAGACAGCTCCTTCCTGAGAGGGACAGGAGGGGATACCTGGAAAGCCTGGATCCCATTTCTCAGGGGGTTCTTATGGAGCAGAGCCCTGAGATGAGGTGGATACAAAGTAGGACAAAACTATGACCAACCAATAAGATGACAAGTACAGGTGATACTGATTAAATGAGGGATCAAATGAGGAAGGGAGTTATGTAGCAAGCATGCACGGAATTAGGATTTCCAGGAAGGAATGGGCTAGAAGGTTCCTGTCCCCATCTAAGGTGACTGATGCCTATTTAGAATATCAATCACTGCTATTCATCTCTGGGGAGGGATGTGTAGTACTGTCTTTTTGAGTCTTGGCCTGGAGTGAACCGGCCTCAGTTGTCTTCTGTACTGACTCCCAGGAGGGCCTGGTCCAGTCTAACTGCCTGTAACTCATCTAATTAACTTAGCTGTCTATAATAAGATGATGATCCTGACCAGGCAATGGGTAAAACTGGCCCTCTGCTTTCCTAATGCATCAATCAGACTCTATCAGAGTTATGTCTCTTCTACCTACTCAAGCTCAAATCCTTTTCCCATCTTCAATCTTACTTTCTGCTGAAAATTCATACTGTGGCTTTAGTATTTCATTATAACTGCAAAGGCCACGCTAGCAGGTAACAAAACATGTTAAAAGAAAAAAAGGACAAATGACACTAAGAAAAAGCAGCCAAAGATTGGCAGAATAAATTTGGAAAATTTACTGTAGAGTTAGAAAATAGTGCAAGGCAATTAGGTAGTGCCAGGCTCTCAGCACAGAAGAGAACTGTGGCCTGCGGCTCATTTACTAAAGACCAGGATTAAAAAAAGAACTATGTCCACACACTTCCCCTAGGGATGGATATCAATCTCGGTTCTGGGGATGGAACTCAGGACCTTGTGCTCAAGAGGCAGGCATGGTGCCACTGAGCTAATTCCCTGGCCCGACAACTGATATTCTAAATAGGTATCTGACACCTTGGGTGGAGATGCATACCTTTAGGGACATCTTCTTCACCCCTGTATGCTTGCTATGAGACTTGCTTCCCCTTTGGATCCTTCATTTAATCCATATTATCTAAGGGACTATATGAGCTGTAATCTTATTAGGTGACCATAGTTTTGGCCCACCTTGTGATTTCCCACTGGATCAATGTTACCAAAATGGCTATGCTTGTATTAATTGACTAGAGTTTTGTGTGGCTTTGGTAAATAAAACACCTTTGAGAGGTGGGGTGGGTGGGCAACGCACTTTCTGGTCTCCCTTCTGTCTCTTTTAGAAAATGCTATCTTTTCCTCAATAAATTCTTTCTACTCTTAACCTCTGTTGTTCCTAAAATTCATTCTTCAATGTTAGAGAACACAAACTCAGTATTATGGATATCTAGCAGGCTGAGAT